GAAGACACACAGACAGGCTAAAGTGAGCTTAGTGTTGTCCAGTGAGGGGACAAGTAGAGCCAGCGCCACTTCTAGAGGGATAACCGGTGTGTCCTCGGGGGCCAGGGCAGCAACTCCCAGCCTTTCCCTTCACAGCGCACAGAGTAAGTATGTGGTATCTGTGAGGTACCCTGGGACGTGTCCAGAGGCTTCCAGGGCGTAGCAGCGCCACATCTGGCCCAGACAAGCTGAGGGCAGAGGGGATCGATATCTCAGCTTCTTTCAAATCCGTGTGGGAGGCTGTGGCCCAGAGCCCTGAGGCTGCCGACACCAGAGCCAGGACTTGAGCCCAGGCTGTGCGACTGCGAGTCCTGAGTTTTCTCCCCCTCGCTCCTGAAGGGGGCTGCAGCTGAGGTCACTGAGGTTCCCGCCTCTTCTTCTTCTTCCTTTGTGTTTGACAAACACCTTATTGAAAATATCAGCCCATCCAGAAAGTACTGACCCTTAGGCTGAAGATTTAAGGGAGTATCCACACAGCAAGGATTGTCAAGGCCCATGCTTGGTAAGAGAACCAAAAAACTCACGGAGACAGGTAGGGTCATTTGTTGCACTGCCCTTCCTCCATGGGAAATATTCACTTTAGGGTTCTCTGTTTAGCAAGGAAGACTTATATATTTTGTCATCCAAAGGGGTGTTTTTCCTTTAGTGCTTCAACTGAGCCTGTTCCGGGGTGTCCCTGACCTTGGATCCCCACCTTGGAGAAGCCACAAGCCAGTGGAGGAGGCATGAGGCTGGGATTCAAACAGATGTAGGTTCAGAAGATTCCCGCTCCTTTACTTACTAGCTAGTTGACTTCTCTATGCTTCAGTTTCCTCAGTTATAAAATGGGAGTAAAGACAACAGTACTTCCATTTAGGGTGGTTGAGTAGACTGGAGATAACGCATGTGAAAACACCTCGCCCATGCTGGCATACAGGACGTTCTCAATAAATGATGGGTCTGGACTTCCCTCACGGCGCAGTGGTGAAGAATCCACCTGCCAGTGCAGGGGACACGGGTTCAAGCCCTGGCCCGGGAAGATCCCACATGCCGCGGAGCAACTAAGCCCGTGCGCCACAACTACTGAGCCTGCGCTCTAGAGCCCGCGAGCCACAACTACTGAAGCCCGCATGCCTAGAGCCCGTGCTCCGCAACAAGAGAAGCCACCACAATGAGAAGCCCGCGCACGGCAACGAAGAGTAGCCCCCGCTCACCACAACTAGAGAAAGCCCGCATGCAGCAACGAAGACCCAACGCAGCCAAAAATTAAAATTAATTAATTAATTAATTTTAAAAATACTGAAAAAAAAAATGATGGGTCTGATCATTAGTCTGACTCATCTGACTGAGGACACCAATGCTTAGGCTCCTTTATGCTTCTCCTGATGAAGGACAAATATTCTCTCTTGTAGACAAGGTACATGGCGTATTAGGAAAACGTACATGGTTGTCATGTCGAATATAAGCAATTACTGTGCCCGACTGGAGTTAAGTAACCACCACCCTATCCCAGCTGCTCTCCTCCAGAGGTTCTGAAAGCAGCGGTGTCCCCCCGCCCCGAGAACACGCTTGTGTTCTGATTCTGAACACCGATTAAAGACCCTCCCCTAAGCACCCAGAGCAGCCCAGGGATTTCCCCAAGGGGGGAATGCCCGGAGGACCTGGAGTGCTTCCTGGACGGAGCCAGGCCCCGGGCCAGTGCTCACGACACACCTGGGAACGCTGGACACCTCTCCCCCAGCCCCTCACTGTCCACTCCACCCCTGTGTCCTGCCAATGTCACCCTGAAAAGCTCTTAAATCTGCCCACTTCCCCCCACGTCCACCACCATCAGCCCAGTCCAATCTCGCACCCGGACTGCTCCGGAAACCTCTTACTTAACTGGTCTCCCCAACAGACGGGGCAGTGCCAGTGGGAGCCCAGTACCGGATCCCAAGAGCTGACTGCTAATACTCAGGAATTCGGTGAGAAAGGAGGTTAAACCGCCAGCGGCAAGAAACAAGCCGCGGTGGGAGCCTTCACGCTGCAGGAGTAGGGGAGTTTTTTCAGAGAGCTGACCTCCCAGCCCAGCACTGCCTGGGCCCCGCCATGTGTTCCTGCAGCCCAAGCGGGGCTCCTTGAAGCAGTCCTTCCCCTCTCAGCCCTTCCGCTCACATCCACCTGCCATGACCTACCCCTCCCAACCCCCCAGCAGGGGCTCTGAACAGGCCGCGCCCTGGGCCTGGAATCCTCCTCCCGCCTTCTCTGCCCAGCTAGCTTCCACCAACCCTCAGAGCTCCTGTCCAGCGCTGCTTCCTTGGGGCAGCCTTCCAGACCCCCTGACAGACCCCGGCCTCCGGTACAAGGTCTCACTGCACCAGGCCCCTCTCCTGGGTCGCAATGGTCACAGCTGGGAGCTTATTACATTTATAACACTTGATGAATGGCTCTTTCCCTTCTCCAGAAACCAAGAGTGAATGACCCTGTGCACCTAACACACGTGTAACACGAAGAGAGTCTCTGGTGGGGGGGGGGGGGAGTGAAAGAAGCCCAAAGCCAGGCAGAGCCCAGGCTGATGGGGACACCCCTAGGCAGAAAATCACGCAGTGCGCGAGGCTGCCCGAACGAGCGAGGGTGAAGGGTTCAGTGAGAACCAGCTCCCGTGGGACGAGGGGTCCTGCCTGCCGGCTCTGCGGGAGGTGGTCTACACGGGGTCCTGGAGGCAGGGGCAGAATGCACACAGAGACGTCCAGGAGAGAGGGGCTCGTCCCACACAGGGCTCAGCTGGGAGCCGGCGGGGGAGAGGCAGGGAGTGGAGGGGCCGCAAACGGGAGAACGAGAGCTCGGCCTTTGGCTTTCTAAAAATTAAGGTTTCTGAACAGGAGAAGAAACTGGAAAGCAGTAATTCTAGAGAACAAGTCCATACACATACATACATACACACACACACACACACACACACACACACACTCTTGGGCTCGCAGCTATAAAGCCAGAAACAAACTCCAACTGACAAGCGTATTCGAAGCCCAGAGAGCAGATGGAGGCCACTTGGGGTGAGACGTGGCAGACACTCGGCACATCCTGATAGAACTCCTCCTGCAGGAAACCAAGATGTCTCCAGTTCAGCTGCAGCCAGACACTTGCTATAGTCAAGACTCCAGAAGCCCTGGCCTGTCTGGAAGCAGCCCGGCCCAGGTCTGCGTGGGGCTGTGGAAGGATCTGACTCTCCTGTCCTGATGCTAGGCCCCTGGCTGCACCCCCTGCACCCCTCCCCCAACCCTGTCCCAGCCACAGGGTTGGCTGGAATTGGCGTCTCCTGGGTGAGTGTGAGAATTACCAGCTGCAGGACTGTCCTCTGCCCTCCAGCTCTGGCTCTCACATTCCTCCAGGGGCCGCTTCATCCACTCAGAGCTGACAGGGTTCGGGCAGGGCCTTCCAGTTGATACAGGAGGGTGGCTGTCTGAGATAGCCCTCTGCCATGGCTGGCCGGAGGCCTGGATGACCCTCCCTGCTGGCTGCAGCCAGGCTCCTGGGAAGCGGTACAAAATTTTCCATCTCTTGAGTCCAAAAAGATGCTCGCGGCCCTTGATTAAAAAGCAGGAGCCTTCTTCCCTCAGGGGCTCTGGCGTGTCTGAATTTTGGGTCAAGAAACTAGTATTATCTATTTGGTGAGAGGGGGTTCCCTCAAGCAGTGGTCTCCAAATTGGGTATACGTAGGGGTTTCCCAAGACTGGAATCCAAAAAATTAACACGAAATGAAGCTTTCCTGATAGTAACCGTACAGCACCGTCCTCAGATCATCTGTCAGGACACGTGCCGTTTCTGACACTCGAGGGATCCCAAGGAAAATGGGCATTCCACAGGCAGGGGATGGAGGACGTGCTGCAGGTTCCGTGTGCCCCACTTTGGTAGAATTATGGATGGTATTATCCGATTTTAACAAAATAACTCTCATAAAATGGACGAATGGCTTAAAGACACCGCTGTGGAGAATTTCAGTGCATGTAACACCAGTACAAACAAACAGTAATATGGAAGACCTAACGCTTGTGGGATGAGAAACTCACGTCAGACACATAAGGAATAAAAACAATGAGGATCACTTTGTTATACAGCAGAAACTAACACACAATTGTGAAGCAATCATAGTCCAATAAAGATGTTTAAAACAAAACAATCAGGGCTTCCCTGGTGGCGCAGTGGTTGAGAGTCCGCCTGCCGATGCAGGGGATATGGGTTCGTGCCCCGGTCCGGGAAGATCCCACATGCTGCGGAGCGGCTGGGCCCGTGAGCCATGGCCACTGGGCCTGCGCGTCCGGAGCCTGTGCTCCGCAACGGGAGAGGCCACAACAGTGAGAGGCCCGCGTACCGCAAAAAAAAAAAAAAAAAAAAAAAAAAAATCAGGACCTAGCAGAGCTATAAACAAATCGGTCCAAAGAATTCAAAACTATAAAAATTATTTGAAATACGGATGTTCACCCACCATCCTTACCGATAATTCTCACTTTCGTGTGTCTCTGTATAATTCGTGCTGTGAAGTATTGCAAACAATACTGGGAAGACATCATAATTGGTAAGTACTTTAAATATTTTTAAAATTCTTTTCAAACATTTGAAAATATTTTATTATTTTCACACTTTAGATTTTTCTATTTTTGCATGTTTCATAACATGTAATATATTACTACACAATGTATTAGTAGGTGTTAGTCTAAGGTTAGCATAGATATATAATTTTCAATATATATAACTGAAGCTGAAAGCTTAAACTTTTTTTTTTCTACTATTTATTTAGGTGACACAGTCATTAAAGCTTGGAGACCACTAACCTAGAGTCAGCTTAGGGGCCCTGAGGCCCCCTCTCTCACTCTCTCCCAAGAAACCCATGGCCAAGGTGAGCCCCGTTCACCCAGGGAGCCCAGGGTCGGGCAGAGGCAGTGAGGGGGGAGCCTGCCCGCAACCCCGCCGCCCCCAGCTCTTCCCAGCGGCACCGGGCCTACCTGATTGTGCCATCGGATGACGTTCCCAAATCCCCCTGTCCCAAGCCGTTCTTTCATTTCCCAGGCCCCGCATGTCTGGGTTGGCAGGGAAGGTGACCAGCTCATACTGATGTCCTGCAAACTCTGTAAGCAATTTGGCGGTGGGGGACAAAAAGCGAAAGTTAAGGAAGAATGGAACACAAGGAGATGGACAAGAGATACTACAGACCTTCCATGTGAAAGGAGAAAAATCGGAAGTGGTTTTCACCTCGTACATAAACCAGGTTGTTTGGTTTGGTTTTGGTTTTGGTAGCCAACTCCGGCCTTTCGCAGCCCCTCCACCGACGGCCCCCTCCCCAAGCTGTACGGAAGCAGCAGGGAGGAGAGTCCCTCAAAGGACAGGGCGCCCCACTGCCCAGGACCTGCAAGGGGTTCCCCAGCCGGGACCCCGCCCGGGCGCCCTGACCGCTGGCCGGGGCGCCTCCCCTCCCAGCTCCCCGCGGTCCCTGCGTCACCGCGGCGCGGACGAATCACCGCCCCGTCCCGGGCCCCCGCCTCGCGGCCGCCACCCGGCACCACCCCGCCGGGGCCGGGCTCCGGGGCCTCCCAGCTCCCCCCGCCCAGGAACCCCTGACTCAGAACCCGTCACAGGCGTCTCCGCGAGCCTCGGAGAGGAGGGGTGCGAGCCCGCCGGGCAGGTGACACCGGGGGCGCCCGCCCGAGGGACTCACCTGGCGGCGGGGCGCGGGCGCCACCCAGACGACATTAAAGTGCGGGAATCTCAAACCCGCCAGCAGAGCGCCACTTCCTCAAACACTTCCTACTATGACGTCACGGAGCACGTGGGCTGCGGTCTTAAAGGGACTGCGCGGCCCAGGCCCCGCCCTGCTCCGCCCGGTGACCAGCCCTAAGAAACGCCAGAGTCCTCTTTAGACTTAGCGACTTAGACCTGGGCGACTTCTGGGACAGGGAACATGGGGATTTCCTCACCTGGCACCGCCGGGGTCAGCCTGACACGCTTCCTAGACTTTGAACTGGGGGAATTTCCCGGCCCCTGCTAGGACTGGTTTAGGGACAGTTTACAGGAATTGCCGTGGGCCTCCTGTTCTCGGGCTGCGCTCCCTGCCCTGTCTGGAGGCTCCTTGGCTCATATCGAGAATGGTAAGTCACACCTGTCGTCTCTAGGAGGCGTGACAGCCCCCGTTTCCTCCTTAAAAAAATAAAGAACAAGGGAAAGAATCCAGTAGCGTAACACAGAACTGCAGGTTCAGCCCCGTGACGTCTGCAAATTGTGAGAACAGCCGCTGTTAATCGGTCATCACCTACCTACTTGGCGTCATAATTAGGTTTTTACTATTGACTGTCTCAGTTCGAGGGCCTCATGTTAGCAGACGAAGGAGAGGCCTGTGTGTGTTGGTATATTTACTCAAGCAGGAAAAAAAGTATTAAGGGCAACGTGAAGATAATAGCTCACTTTATAGAGTGCTTACTGAGTGCCTGGCACTGTCTAAATTCCGTACCTGGATTTCCCCATCCAATCGTCAAGACCGTCCTACAAATTGGACAGTACTGCATTATTATTATCCCCATTTTACAGATGAGAAAACTGACGCACAGAGCGAAAAATCTTTATCCCAAAGTCACAGCCTTATAAGAGGATGATGATCTGATGTTTAAACCGCAGCAGCTGGTTCTTGGGTGCACACTCTTAAAAGTAGCATACTAGTAAGTTCAGAAGGGAGCAAACTGGATTTTGAATCCGGGTACTGCTGTTGAGAACCTCTGAGAATTTAGGGCAAGTTATTGATACTTAGACCATTCTAAGCAGCCATTTCTCTTCTTTAAAATGTAGGCAGTATTAATGGGTGGACTTGGAGGGTATTATGCTAAGTGAAATAAGTCAGACAGGGAAAGACAAACACTGTGTGGTGTCACTTATATGTGGAATGTAAAAAATACAACAAACTAGTGAATATAACAAAAAGAAGCAGACTCACAGATATAGAGAACAAACTAGGGGCTACCAGTGCGGAGATGGAAAGGGGGAGGGGCACGATAAGGGTAGGGAAATAAGAGGTACAAACTACAACGTATTAAATAAATAAGCTACAAGGATACATTGTACAGCACAGGGAATAGAGCCAATATTTTCTAATAACTATAAATGGAGTATATTCTATAAAAAAATTTGAATCACTATGTTGTACACTTGAAACTAATTATACTGTAAATCAACTATACCTCAATTTTTTTTAAAAGGTAGGCAACATAAGGGTGAATTGCATGAAATTATCATTTTTTAAAATAAAACCAGTTGAAACATCAGCAACAAAGATTAGCAGTTTCACCTGGTTCAGCCTAAAAGCAGCAGGAGGTAAGAGGGCACACAAGTCAGAGACTGGAGGGCTGGGAGGGCGAGGGTGTTGTGAAGGACAGGTGATAAGATGGTGAGAGCCGTGCCTGACACAGAGGACACTCCTGCCTGGACAGAGCCTGAGGCTGAAGTTTCCTCTTAGGAACAGACGTCTGCTGTCAACCCAAGCAGACGGGTCGGTGTGCCCAGGGCTGCCCTAGCCACGCCAGGATGCTCAGAGTTTCTCCACTTATCCTATTGCTTCTGCTAAACAGCACGCTGGGCCTCAAAGCAGGAAGAGAAAAGAACATGAGTAAACAGTTGTAAAACACTTAGAATAGTGCCTGACATATTCTAAGTGCAGTGTAAGTGTCTCTCTTTTTTTTTTTTTTTAAATTTTTGGCTGCGTTGGGTCTTCGTTGCTGCGCGCGGGCTTTCTCTAGTTGCGGTGAGCGGGGGCTACTCTTTGTTGTGGTGCGCGGGCTTCTCACTGCAATGGCTCTTCTTGTTGTGGATCATGGGCTCTAGGCATGGGCTTCAGTAGTTGTGGCACGCGGGCTTCAGTAGTTGTGGCTCGCGGGCTCTAGAACGTAGGCTCAGTAGTTGTGGCGCATGGGCTTAGTTGCTCTGCGGCATGTGGGATCTTCCCAGACCAGGTCTCAAACCCGTGTCCCCTGTATTGGCAGGCGGATTGTTAACCACTGTGCCACCAGGGAGGTCCTAAGAGTCTGTTTAATACATCAATTTTTAAAATAAATTTATTTTCATAAATAAAATTTTACCGAGTTCTACAGGTGCTGGCCCCTCTCTAGAGTGTGTTTCCTGTATGACATCACAAAAGGTTTCTTTTTAATCCTGTCACCACTGAAAATCACTGTCCCTGAGAAACTTAGTGAGACATCCAGACATATGCCAGAGAATTCTCATTTGCTCAGCTAAAAATAGCTTGGTTTTCAACTGAATATAAATCTTTCTGATAAGTCACATATTACTGGATTTTTTAAAAAAAATTAATGATGGCCCAGGAAGGAATCTCTGGGTTTTATCACGTCCTGAGATGTTTATCATGTTAAGTCCCTTTTTCCCTCCAGATAAGACGCGTCCACTGCCTACGTCTGGTCTTTATCCTGTTCTAGAGATGACTGAGCAATTTTTACAAAAAACATTTTCAGATGCAGCAGAAAAGTCTTCCTTTTCCTTCCTGTTTTGAGGCTGAATGTGCTATTTAGGGTAATCCAGAAACACTGAGCAGCATGAGTGCCCCGCACAGCCCTGGATACCGCTGGTCTAGGGCATCCAACTCTCATTAGGGGCACCTAGAATCTTACTGGAGGCGTATGACTCACTGAGGGTCCCCAAGTGACGAGAGATGGGGACCAGGCAATACAAAGTCCTGTGCTAATTTGTTCTGCTCTAGAGGCGGTATGCTGTTGGCGATAAGGATAATGTTTCCAATGGGGTTATCTTAAAAATAAAAGTCTTCTTCACAGGGTAGGTCAAAAATAACTATCCTCTTGCTCGATCTTTGAGAACAAAACAGCTCTGAGCTCCTTTGAGTGAGAAAAGGGTTGTTTTCTGAGCAATCTGGGAGCTGAGTCATAGTAAGAGAAGCCAGCTTGAAAGATAGGAAAGCAGTAAAACAGACCACTTGGCAGAGGGAGGATTTCCCCAGGCCCCCAGCCCCGGAGTCAGCTCTGGTTCAGTGATTTCAGCAACTCTTTCACTATCCTTCCGAGTTTGTTTTATCTCAGCCCTGCAGGGAGAGAGCTCTGCAAGTCAGGACCTGCTCCTTCAACAAACAAAAAATCTTTTGTCGCAAAAGTTGGAAAACTCGTTCAGTTGGAGGACATAAAGAAATCCGCCTTTCTTCTAGGGGAGATGATGGGAGGTGGGAATGGGCTGGTGGAGATGCTGAGAATGAACTTTAGCCCAGACCCTACGTGGCTCAGGGCAGAGCCGGCTGCAGTGAGGAAGGGAAGAAAATGTAACTAACTTCTACCTCTGTGAATGAGACCTGGGCCAGTCTGGCCCGTGCCTCAAACCTTGCGTGAAACACGGACAACTGGGGATTTGGGGCCCTGAGTTCCCCTCCTGAGAGGGATGATAGCTGGGGGAGGAAATCAGCTTGTAAGCTCCCTTCATTTGTACATGCACATGTTTTTATTCCAGTAAATTCGAATTAAAGAGGAAGGAGCTGATAAAGCACAGCTGCCCATCCCTTGGCTGTGGTGGTGGGGAAACCGTGGATGTGAGCTGGCTGTGTGTGCTCATACCTTAGGATGTTTCTTAGCTCACCTTAGTTCTGAGCTCTTACCTGTGCTCCATGGGAGCAGAGATTTTATTCCCTGCTGCATTCCTAGTGCTTGGAACATCACAGGTGCTCAGTAAGAGTTTACTGAATGAATGGGTGAATTGGCCAAGGCAAAGACTTGGTGATACTGCACCCTTTAGCATTTGGTTATAAGTGGTCTCTGGAGTCTGAGCGATGTGGTTCTAATCCTGGCTCTGCGTTTTCTTGGCTTTGTGAACAGGCAGTTCACTGGCCCTCACTGAGCCTTAGTTTTCTCATCTCTAAATTGGGGGCTAATAATCATTAAAAAGTCTACAAATAATAAATGCTCGAGAGGATGTGGAGAAAAGGGAACCCTCTTAGACTGTTGGTGGGAATGTAAATTGATACAGCCACTATGGAAAGCAGTATGGAGGTTCCCTAAAAAACTAAAAATAGAGTTACCATATGATCCTGCAATCCCACTCCTGGGCATATATCCGGAGAAAACCATAATTCGAAAAGATACATGCATCCCTATGTTCATAGCAGCACAGTTCACAATAGCCAGGACATAGAAACACCCTAAATGTCTACTGACAGATGAATGGATAAAGAAGATGCGGTACATATATACAATGGAATATTACTCAGCCATTAAGAAGAATGAAATAATGCCATTTGCAGCAACATGGATGGACCTAGAGATTATCATACTGCGTGAACCAAGTCAGAGAAAGACAAATACCATATGATATCACTTATATGTGGAATCTAAAATATGACACAAATGGACTTATCTATGAAACAGAAACAGACTCACAGACATAGAGAACAGACTTGTGGTTGCCAAGGGGGAGGGGATTTGAGGAGGGATGGAGTAGGAGTTTGGGATTAGCAGATGCAAACTATTATATAGAGAATGGATAAACAACAAGGTCCTACTGTATAGCACAGGAAACTAATATCCTGTGATAAACCATAATGGAAAAGAATATGAAAAAGAATATATATATGTATAACTGAGTCACTTTGTTATATAGCAGAAATTAACACAACATTGTAAATCAACTTATACTTCAATACAATTTTAAAAAACTAAATTGGAGGATAATAAAACCTACCCCTCATGGTTATATGGTTTAAGTGAGATAAGATCTATAAAGTGCCTAGTACAGAGCTTGGTACTTATTAAAACCTGTTTGAATAGTAGTTATTAATACTTTTTTTGGTTTTTTGTCTTTCTTTTTCGGCTGCGTTGGGTCTTCATTGCTGCGCACGGGCTTTCTCTAGTTGTGGCAAGTGGAGTCTCTACTCTTCATTGAGGTGCGTGGGCTTCTCATTGTGGTGGCTTCTTTTGTTGCAGAGCATGGGCTCTAGGGTGTGCGGGCTCAGTAGTTGTGGCACACGAGCTTAGTTGCTCTGTGGCATGTGGGATCTTCCCGGACCAGGGCTCGAACCTGTGTCCCCTGCGTTGGCAGGCGGATTCTTAACCACTGTGCCACCAGGGAAGTCCTAATACTGTTAGTTTTTAAATGCAATAATCCAGAATTCAGCTGAGATCCTCGTCCTTTGTGATTCAAGTGAAATGGGCTCCAACCGGCCCCCACTTAACGGTGAAAGGCCCTGTGTCCATTCACCTTTCACGTCTCTCCAGGAATTTGATGTAAGAGGTGGTGGTGTTAAAAGACAGTATGCTTCGCAGCCCCCTCTGATTCTGAGCTCCTGCTTTTGCTGAACTCTTGACTGTCCTTTCTAAATCGGTCTTCCTCTCCACCACAGCCAGCGATTTTGTCACCACACTCTCTTCTAGTCCTTAAGAGCCATTAGCACTAATTTTTTTAAAAAGACTTCAATTTTTGTTTTAACAGAATTGTGTATTTATTTATTTATGCCTGCGTTGTGTCTTTGCTGCTGCGTGCGGCTTTCTCCTGTTGCAGCGAGCAGGGGCTACTCTTCGATGCAGTGCGTGGGCTTCTCATTGCGGTGGCTTCTCTTTTTGCGGAGCATGGGCTCTAGGCGCGGGCTTCAGTAGTTGTGGCACGCGGGCTCAGTAGTTGTGGCACACGGGCTTAGTTGCTCCGCGGCATGTGGGATCTTCCCGGAGCAGGGCTCAAACCCGTGTCACCTGCATTGGCAGGCGGGTTCTTAACCACTGCGCCACCTAGGAAACCCCATCAGGATTTAAATTAAATCCTTTTGCCCCCCTGGGTTTGTGGATCCAGTTCTCTGCCCAGACCTGGAAGACAGCCCTTCAGCTCGACTTGTATTTACAGACTTTGCCAAAGGTTTGCAGAGATGGAGACATTTACATCCCAGCACCACAGGCGATTTGAAGTAAGCATGGACACCTTCTCTTGAGCAGTTTCCATTCCCACCACCTGGCCCAGCTTCCCCCATCTCCACCTCCCAGCTGCCCTGGCCGCCCAGCTCCAGGCCTCCTGCTCGTGGACAAAGAACCAGATCCCTCTGCCATCTCAGGCAGAGCAGCACACTCTTCTCGGCCACAACCCCGTCCTCAGTTAGGTCCCCAACAGAGCACAGCCAGGGGCCCTCAGGCAGCCTGCACAGCTTCTAAACTAGATTCAGATCCCAGCGCTTTAGGCTGAGGCCTCAAGCCTGTCCTTTCCGGGCCCACCCTCTCTCCAGCTGCTGCCCTCAGGCTGCCATCACCTCCTCCAGACGCTCCGTCACCCCCTGGAGGCCTCCGCTTCATGGCAAAAATCCTGGGCTGAACGAGGGGACGTCTACACTCTAATTTCTTTCTCTGTCCCTGCAGAGCCACTACCCTCTAAGTTCCCTAACTGCAGTGATTCGATAGGAATCCTGCCTCCCCTTAGAAGACAGAAACACCGACAGACCGTTTTGGGTCCTAAATAATAAAAATTTTCCCCTCTCTGCTACTGCTACCTGCCAGTCTGGATCAATTCACACTGATCTGGTGGGTGGATCAATTCACACTGATCTGGTGGGTGGGTCTGTGAAGTGGGCAAAAAATGGCAGGACCCGGAGGGATGGTTCTTAGGAGAAAAAATTGTAGACCCTATTCATTTTATTACCAGAGGATGTCAGATCACTTAAACACATAGATAATCTTTCTACTTCCTTTTGGTCATTAAAAAAATTAGGTTTATAGAGATACTATTTACATACTATAAAATGTACCAATTTTAAGTGTACAATTTAAGGAGTTATTTTACAACTGCGTGTAGCCCAATAACTCTCATGAGAATCACCCCGTAGAACATCTCCATCACCCCAAAGTTTGCCTCCCTTGGGGCCCCTTGCCGTCCACCCCTCCCCCGCTCCAGGCCCAGCCCCCCGGCCAACACTGATGCAGTCACTGCAGTTACTCAGTTTGGCCCATGTTCATGTAACTTCGTTGCAGCTACCACTTCTAGAGAACTGTTAAGGTGTGGCCAGCCTGCTGGGTTGGGCTGGATTTCTTCTGCTGAGAAGCCAGAAGCTGGAGATGACCAAGTGTACACTCTGGGAAGGGCCCGGGTCAGCGGCTCCAGACCCGGCTGAGCCAGCCATGTGGGGAAGAAAGGCTCACCACTGAGCCGCCTGAGCCAGGAATGAGGAACAGAGAGAAAAGGGAAAGGCCGGGCAACTCCAGAGGGAGAAGGCGGAAGGCCACAGGGCCACAGAGATGGGAACTTTATAATTAAAGGCCTGCACTGTGTTGCAATTCAACTGTCAGACTCCAATCCACCCCAAGCCCAGGCTGCTGTCAGCACTTCCCCTGGTCAAGGGTGTCCCACCTGCCTGCCCCGTCCCAACTTCTCCTTTCTGCAGGAGACTGGGGGGGACTCGGGGGGGGGGGGGGGGGGGGGGGGGCAGATCTCCCAATAGGTAAAGCGGATCTCCATCACCCCACCCACTTCCTGCCTCGGGCTGGGGCCTCTCTCTGTCTGAAGACATCCTACCCAGCTCCTCTCTCCCCTGGGCCTCTGCCTCCAGCTTCATGCCCTTTTCTGTGAGTGGGACCTTTTGCAGGGGCGTTTGAATTTTAACTGGAAAAAGAAAAGGAAGTAAAATCACGTCTTGAACATCTTTTACCAGAGGGAAAGAAAAATTCAAACAGTAAAAAACAAAATTAAAAGTAAAAAAATTCTCTCTCCGGGTCTTAATTCCCAGTCTGTCCCCCAAGAGCCAACACATCAGTATTTCTTTTATGTCCTTTGTAGGGGGAAGAGGGGATACTGCCTTTTCCTTTAAATTTTTTTGATGGGGACCATTTTTAAAGTCTTTATTGAATTTGTTACAATACTGCTTCTGGTTTTTTTTTATGTTTTAGCTGTGAGGTATGTGGGATCTTACCTCCCCGACCAGAGATCAAACCCTCACGCCCTGCATTGGAAGGCGAAGTCTTAACCACTGGACCGCCAGGGACGTCCCGGGGATATTGTCTTAAGGCAGCATAACATATGCATGGCTCTGTACCTTCCCTTTATCACTGTCCCATGTCAGCATATACATTAATTTTGATATAATTTCAAACTTACAGAAAACCTGCAAGAATAGTAGAAGGAATTCCTGTACACCCATGAGCCAGATTCACCAATTATCGATATTTCACCCCTTTTGCTTTATCTGTCTACCCACCTACATATTACTTTTCTGGTTTTTTTTAATTGAAGTATAGTTGATTTACAATGTGTTAATTTCTGCTGGACAGCAAAGTGACTCAGTTATACACATGTATACATTCTTTTCCATTGTGGTTTATCATAGGATATTGAATATAGTTCCCTGTGCTATACAGAAGGACCTTGTTGTTTATCCATCCTATATATACTAGTTTGCCTCTGCTAATCCCAACCTCCCATTCCAACCCTCCCTCAAACCCCTCCCCCTTAGCAACTACCAGCCTGTTCTCTATGTCCTTGAGTCTGTTTCTGTTTCACAGATAGGCTCATTTGTATCATATTTTAGATTCCACATATAAGTGATACATATGGTATTTGTCTTTCTCTTTCTGATTTACTTCATTTAGTATGATAATCTCTAGGGCCAACAACGTTGCTGCAAATGGCATTATTTTGTTCTTTTTTATGGCTGAGTAATATTCCGTTGTGTATATGTGCCACATCTTCTTTATCCATTCATCTGTTGATGGACATTTAGGTTGCTCCACGTCTTAGCTATTGTGAATAGTGCTGCTACATATTACTTATCTGAACCATTTCAGAGTACGTTAGAGACGGTCTTCCCCTTACCCCGATTTACCTCAGTGTGTATTTGCCAAGAATAGGACCTTCTTTTACACAGCCCCAGTCTAATTATTAATATCAGGAGATTTAACACTGATTCACAACTGTTACTCGGTTCGCAGTCCATGTTCTCCCCAGTTCAGCATCTAGCCAGGATCATACTTACATTTCATTGTCCTATCTCTTTAGTCTACTCCAATCTGGAAAAATTCCTCGGCCTTTCCTTGTCTTCCTGGACCTGTACACGCCAGCCCTTTTGCAGAATGTACCTCAGTATGGGTGTGCTTGACGTGATGTCATACCTTGATGGTACATCAAGACATCGTGCAGGGGAGGGCCGTGATGTCATTTTATCCCACCCATCACTGATGCCTTTAACTTCGATCACTTGGTTAAGGTGATTTCTGCCAGATTTCTCCACTTGTAAAGCTACTATTTTCCCTTTGTGATTAAGGTGTAATTTGTGTAAATATCTGACTGTTCATCAATTTGTTTCCCATCTTTTCATAATTTTTTGTTTTGTTTTAAAAGATGTTTTGATGTGGACCATTTTTTTTAAAGTCTTTATAGAATTTGTTACAATATTGCTTCTGTTTTATGTTTTGGTTTTTTGGCCCGAGGCATGTGGGATCTTAGCTCCCCCACCAGGGATCGAACTCCCACCCCCTGCACTGGAAGGCGAAGTCTTAACCACTGGACTGCCAGGGATGTCCCCTTTGGTGATGTTCTGACTCTATTGTTCCTTACAGTTGGTATTCTACTGTAAAGAACTTGGTTTTTTAGCTGGCATTCTACTGTAAAGAAGAGCTTTCCCTTCTCCACCATTTATTTATGGATTTGTTTTGTTTATATTAGTATAAACCTTTGGATTCTTATTTTACTTAATGAGTTGTAATCCAATGCTATTACTTTTATTAATTTTGATACTTAAATTATCTCAAATTGCCAGTGAAAGCCACTTCAAGTTGGCTCCTGTGTCCGTTTGATGTGGCCCCATCATTCTTTGAGCCCTTCCTTATATTCTGGTAACATTCTGGCAACAAGATGTTCCAGGATTATCTCACACTTTCTATGCCACCGTCCTGGAATCAGCCTTTTCTCCAAGGAGTCCTGGCTCCTTTTAATGGAAAATGATATTTGGAAACCAAGATCAGGGTGCTGGCAGCATATACATTTTCACCTAATTGATTTATCAGCTGGATATGATTCTATTGTATGTATGTAACATGATTTATAACCAGTCACCTGTTCATGAACATTTGTAGCGTCATCAGTTTTAGCTATTACAAAAGTGCACTGCTGTGAATACTCTTGGCTTACATTTGGGAATATATCTATAGAGCAGATTTCTAGCAGTGAAATGATCAATCAGGTTTATGCATTCAAAAATTTGATAAGATTACCCAGCCATAAAAAGGAACAAAACTGGGTCATTTGTAGAGACATGGATGCATCTAGAGACTGTCATACAGAGTGAAGTAAGTCGGAAAGAGAAAAATATCGTATATTAACGCATATATGTGGAACCTAGAAAATGGTACAGATGAACCAGTTTGCAGAGCAGAAATAGAGACACAGATGTAGAGAACAAACATATGGACACCAAGGGGGGAAAGTGGTGGGGGGAGGGTGGTAGTGTGATGAATTGGGCGATTGGGATTGACATGTATACACTGATGTGTATAAAATGGATGACTATTAAGAAAAAAAAATTTTTTAATACAATATAAGCAGAAGGATTAAATTAGAAACAAGCATTCCAAGGATTAACAAAACAAGTAGATTGAATTGCTCAGAGCGGTCATAAGTAAGGGAATAGAACTTAAAAACTAAAAATAATAAATGAAGGACCAGGCTAAATTTGAATTGATAATTATGTATATTTAATCATATGAAAATATGAACATTACCCTACCCACAAGGTTAACTAGAGGTTTAAAGTATGTTAAATTCACCTATATAATACCCCAGAATCTTTGTTATAGAAAAGTCATAAAAAGGCAAGCGTGAGAGTCAGAGATGGTATGTGCCAGGATTTATTCAATTTATTTTAAGCTAAATTTTTTCTATTTTTAGATTACATACAATATCACAGTTAAATACACAAGGATGAGAGATACAATTGAGTAGGATAAATAAAGTGAAGGCAAAAACTTAACAAGAAAATATGGATATAAAACATGTTATATGATCAGATTCTAAACATGGAATCAGCTGGGCATATTGATCCTTTTATTAGGTCCTTGAGGCTACTAGGGATTTATAGATGGTTTCTGTCTCTAAGGTTTATGCAGAATTCCCTATTCTTTTTAAATCACCACTTTCACTCAAACCACAGACTGCAATTTCAGTAAGTGCTGAACTTCACTATTTTGAGATCATTTAAAAACTTCATGATTTCCTCAAATTGTCCAGTGTCTACACAGTCTGCTGCTCTCTAGAAAATACTTCTCACGAACACACACTTGATTTTTTAGCTTAATCACTGAAGAAGCTACACACGTACTTCTCATGAAAAATGGGTTTGTTTGTTCTGTTAGCAAGATCAGCAGAGCAGTGATGTGCTCTGCACGGGGGCAGGGGACAAATCTACACCCACTTGGTGTTTGTCACAGTGGGAGAAGGTTGAAGTCAGTGGCTCCAGTAAGTAAGTATCTTTAATTTCACATGTACACTAAAAAACCAAGTTAGTCAAATTCCACTGAATAAAACATATCCGACTAACATGTATGAAAATTTCAAAAATGCTTAGGGATAGATGGCCAAGC